ATGGCAGTCAACTTGCATAGTAATGGTATGCTTATAAATTTAGCTTTTAACTAAAGATACAAGGAAGTAATGAGACAGCTGTGCGTGGCCAAATGAGTAACAGCGTGGATGAGTAACAGCGTGGATGAGTAACAGCGTGTCACTTGTTGAGGCAACGTACTGCTTGCCTGAGTCCAATTGGGTCTCAGGTCAGGGGCAGATTTATTCTGAGTGCCAACTCAATAACACAGCGCACCCCAGTGACAGGGCCAGACAGATCACTCTGTGCGCTAATAAACTATATATCATTAATAGACAATAATTATACTCTATATATTACTGAATTGGAATCTAAAAGTGTGTACCCCTCTGTGACCTTCACTACAATAAGTGGTTATATATCAGGTCAATTTTCCTGTATTTTGCAGTTATGTAAAGAATTCCATGTGTGCTAGAGTGTGGAGCAGTGGATTAAGCCCCTTTGCCCACGATGGGAAGGTTGTCAGTTTGAATCCCATAGTAGGTAGAGCGATGTCACAGTTGGGCCTTTGGACAAGGCCCTTAAACCCCAGTTGCTCTGGGGATGCCGGCTGACCCTGCTCTATGATCCTCGCTTGTACATCAATTTGGCAAAAGTGTCAGCTAAATAAATGTCCAGGTCCTGGGGGAGAGTTTGCTGCCGGCTGTGACCGCAAGCAAGTCAGGCTCCATATCTGACATCCAGGGGTGGAACGACGCTGGAGGGGTTATATCTTTGACATTCAGTGAACATCAATTATGTATAATACGTCACGGCGCTGGAGTCGCAAAATGACTAAATGATTCAAAACCGCTTTGCTGAGGGCAATATGTGAAATGTTTCTGACAAAATAACCCATTATCACATGGCTTTCGGCTAAAGCAGCGGCCCGCGTTTCAAGTTGGCATGTCATTAATCGCCACTTCATCAAGAAATATTGTGGAGTCCCTTCACAAGAGAACAGTGGGTTTTTTTTGCCTGTTTAGAAAGGAAAATGTTTTACTAAATGTCGATCAAAAAGATATTGACCTTTTTCAACAGCATTTCTTTTTTTGGGAACCTTTCCAAGACGTAGTGAAAGTGCTTCCATGTAAAATTAATGTAAAATAATTTCAAAATAATTGCATAACTTGACAATCACGTTATGTCCCATTAAACACGTTTGAATCTTGGCTTTTTTCCATCCCTTTTGCGAATCTGACAGCAGGACTCTGACCCAAATGAAGGCTGGTGACTTGTTTTGAAAAGATTGCGTGCGGTCAGTGTGATTATACACGTCCCTCTGAGACAGACACAACGCCTCATGCCGCGAAGCAGCCACGCATCAGCAGTGACATGAAACAAACTGTCGCTATGATATTAAAGGGTCTGTGTGACACGCTGGCGTGTTAAATTCATTGAAGTGTTGAAAGACTGTGTATTTGCATAGCAGCGGGCACCCGTTCAATTAAAGACTTCCAAACTAGATAGTCGAAGTTTTAGACCATTACGAATTCATCAAGCATGACCGTCAGGTCAGTGCTGCACATTACAGACTGATCAAGCAGAGACTGTCAGGCAGGGGACGGCAAATTTACCCTTACAGCCAGTGTGTATGCAGGTTTTTGGGATAACCCTTAGGTCAGCTGTTCAAACCCAGGTGTGAGAACTCTTCAGTCAATCAGTCAATTAGTAATCTAATTAGGGAGCTGCAGCGAGACCCCAGGCACATGGCGGCCCTTTCTGGATAAGCTTGGCCAACCCTGCTATAGGGTACATATACAGTACTGCGCAAAAGCCATAGGCAACCAAAGAAAATTGTGTTTAAAGTTATTTCATCTGGACAGTTAGTGTATTTTTGCTCGGGAAAAAAATATGAATTAACATTTTAATATATAGTAATAATAATACAATAAGAAGGAATAAAATGTCTTCTGTTCTCCAGACAGTCACTGATATTGTGTTAGATTGGTAGCAGAACATGGGCTTCGGTTCTCAAATCTATCCTACGGGGCACCTCAGCCATTCCGTGTTTTTGTTAAATTTCACCACTAATTCACTTAATCAGTTAATAAACTCCACAACGTATTGATTAGCCAGACAAGGTGTGCTAGTGGTTGACTTCAAGAACTATATGGGGATACTGGATGGGCACCAGCCAGTGCTGGTCACTCGTGGAGAGGTTTTGAAACTGCTGAGCAAACACACTTTGACAGACATAAAATCATAGTTTTACGGCAACATAAACGTTATTTTCTGTGGCAGCCTAATACATTTGCGCAGCATTATATATACATATATAATATGTGTGTATATCCATCTATATCACTGTACTGTGTCATCGCTAATGTTGTTATATACAAACATTTGAAGATGACAGTTATTGGAAGAGAGAGAAGGTAACTCATCTCATCTCACTCATTTGGATGTTTATGCATTTAGTGGCATTAGCATTTTTCTCTCTACTGGTGTATTGAATTTGAGGACTGTCAGTTTTGCTGTTTTATGTTTAACAGACCAAACGCACCAAGACAAATTGCATGCGCATTGCAGTGTACCTGCTGAATAAAGCTGACTTCTGATTCAAGGCCTCAGTTTCACTACAAAGAAGCTTATTTCAAAGCCCACAAACCCTTTCGATACATAAACATGCTATTTATTTATTCTGATGTAAAGTGGGGCCCAGCTTACTTTTCGTCAGAAAGTAACCAGGATGGTGTGCGACTGCAGATTAAGCTGCTGTGCCCGTGATTGGAAGGTTTGAATTCCATGGTAGGCAGAGTGATGTCACCGTTGGTCCCTTGAGCAAGGCCCTTAATCCCCAGTCGCTCCAGGGACTCGGAGAACCTGCTTTTTAAATTGCGTGTCGCTTCTTGTTAAGGCACCTGCTAGATATATAAATAAATATGCAATCATTGGAGTTCAACCTTGTCATTGTCCATCTCCGTCTTGTAGACTGAAATCATGCCCCCCCCCCATCCAGCCTTCCTCTAAATTAATTTGGGGCTTTTATCTCATCCCATAATAGTACCCAGTAAATGCCAGAGATCACTCTCACTGCTCTTCACTAAACCCTTTCCAAAGAAGGAACGTCTGTTTCAAAGCTGGGTGTAGAAACAAAGTGCACAGCATTCTATGCCAGGCTTCACTTGTGCATTAGAACTTCCTAATACTTAAAGCATTGTCTTTGTCCTTTTGATGAGCCCTTCACAGTCATGTGACACAGACATGCAGCATCCATGCAAGTGCCCCTCATATAGTGTACGTTTCACCTTCCCTAAGTGCTACTCTGCATTTATACTTCTTGAATATCATCTCCAAAGTTTCTGTCCATTTTGTAATCATGTAGCTGTTCCCCTGCTGTGAAATTTGCCTGAATCTGCCATTGATACGTCTGAATCTCGTGCTGTTCAGAGTGCCAAATATAGTCATATCTGAACTTAAGCATTTTGCTTGGGAACATCGGTTGCCCCGACTATCCTAAGATGTGCCTTCCTGCTAGGCTTTCCAGGAAAGGCACTGAACAAAAAGGAATTTAATTAAAATGATTTCCTTTTAGTTCAAAGCCATTGTAGACACTCCTGGACCGCATTGTTTATTTTTTTGTGAATTATTCATGCATTTTCAGTCTTGGACACTCAATACTAGGGATGTAACATCTGCCAGCAATCTACACCCCCGGCTGCCACACCCAGCCAGCCCATGGCCAATCACACCATGCTGGGCTTCGCCTGAATATTACACAGCTAATTAGCCCAAGGGTAATTTAATGACCTCTTCAAAGTAAAACCTTTGCAAGATATTGATTAATCTGCTCTTTGCTCAGTTGTAAACTTGAAGAGTCTTAGCCATTTTGCACTCGGCTTGTGTTTCGACCCTGCCTTTCGCATGATATTTAGTGCTTGTGTAACCTTTGTGTGAATCCTTAAAGCTGCTTGCTCATTTCTCTAATCTCAGAACTCTGACATTACAAGCAATAACAGTATTTCAAACAATAAGTCAAGCTCAACAAGTGTGACAATATAATAATACTTCAGTGCGAATGAATAAACATTCTGTGTTTTGCATAATTGCAAAAAAATGTTTTCATGCCATTATGCAGCTAAACATTACAATATTGCAATTGACAAAAAGTCATATCAAATTGATAGACATGATATGAATTTTGATGATTTTTACAAATCATAATAAATATTGTAAAATCTTGCTGGAATTTATGGCTTAAGAATAAGGAGACTGTGGTAGTAGACACCAAAATTTCATTCTTCTAGGTCCTACTTCTACTATTCATATGTAACCAAGAATCATAATTCTGCACAGAACTCAAGTCTGTGATCATTTTTCCTTTTTAAGATGGGTACAGATATTGACGGGGACGTTATAATGTCTGATAATTTTATTGATGAGTACTTTATAGTGGCTGTAGTGTCTCAACTAGACATAATTATTTTGAAGAGAGTATCAGAAGTAAAGTAGGACTCTGCTCATGGGTCTTTGCTCATACGTTTAGCTTCGGTTTCAAAAGCTGCAAAGAAAATATTAACCTTAAAATTGAAGTTGACCGAAAATCAAAGGCCTTAGATTTCTCAGGGCATACTTTCTAATATACAGCGTACTAGTATATAGTAAGATAAATTAAATATTGTGTTCACAGTAATGCAAAGCACAGCCAAAGGTGTGTTATTTTTAGCTGTTTTCATTTTAATTGCCATTCAGTGATCCTTTGAAACCGTATTTGGGAAGTTTATGTGACTGATGTTGCATAACAGAAGCTTAAATTGATAATAGAGCAGGTCAAATCAGCAGTAAAAGATGCAGATGCCTTCTAAACTCAATGGATAATACATTGTAGTGCTACACCTGTTGCTATATACTTAATATTGGGGCCATTAACTAATTTCTTAACAAAAGATATGCAGTCTCCAGAAAATGGAGGATATTGTTGACTCGACCAGTGCAGTAGTACATTTTACCAGGCTCTTAGGCATAAATATTTTTGGGGGGGTCCAGCAACCCTCCCGATAGATTCCCCTCGATACGTTTTGTTGCCCAAGAGTTGTGAAAAAATTTTGGGGGGGGTTGATTGTTGAAACCCGTCATTTTAACACCTGCTCTCGTGCCAGGATTTTACTCCGTGTTCACAAGGATTTACACCCAAATAGAAACAATGTAAATTAAGAGGAGAACATGTTTTTTGTGGGAGTATTCAGCAGCCAACTCCCTGCCTTGTTCAGATTAGCAACAGCATGCATATTCAAACGGCGTTCTCACTGGTGCTGGTGTGATCTCCAGGTTAGCAGCAACTGAACTCAGCTGCGAAGAGGTAAGATAAATTAATCATTAGAGTTTGCTTAAGTTACATTTATGTCATTCTATCTATCTATCTATCTATCTGCCTGTCCGTTCATCTGCCTCTTAGGGACTGTATATAATTTATATGTTATATTCTCATGTCTGGTGCTGCTTTATAAATAGAAAGGACTATTGCGTCGATGCACAGCTGCTCAGCAATGTGTTCAAATGAACTAACAAAAACTTCATTTTCCGTTAAAAAGTTTTCAAAACTGTCGGCGACGCCAAACTTATCGGCTGACATTTGTGACAGTCGTGCCACAGCATTTAAAAGATCTCTGGAAGGTAAAGTTCATTTATTTTAATAATGTTAAGTAATGAGCTCGGACAGGATTATTTTTTTTCTTTTGCTTGTGACAGAGTTCGCATGGAATGCTCTGTATTTACGTGGCAGGCAGTGTGCAGCAACTGTCCATTTCGTACTTATTTGTCAGACACTTTTAGCCAACGAGATTTACAGTTGAGGCAAACTTCCCCTTATTTACTTCATGTCATGTTGTTTTTCTGTACCTGCATCTTTAGCCAACAGCAACCGCCGGTGGAATATAACCGAATAACAGGCATCTCTGCAGCAGGACTCAGATTTATAATCAATCGATCAAATTTGATTCGTAATATAGCAGCCTTTCCAGAGGCTTCTCCCTGGCGCAAAACATTTTCCAGCTAAAATCAATAAATCATAAAACCCTGAAACCAGCTAGCAGCACAATGGCAAATTATTGGTGGTCGCAGAAACAGCGATGAACAAGGACTGCGAAGGAATGGTGCTCAAGAAAATCATCAGAATAAAGTAGATATTGGTAATTATGTTCTACACGGCACATCTAGAAATAGGTTTACAGATTTAATTGTGGCGTCAACCCTTCCTAGAATTATATCAAACACCTGTGGGTTGTGTTCTGTGTTCAGGGATGACAGATGCGTCACTTATCCAATCAACACCATACACAATCTGCAATGAGAATAAATGGCCACTGGGTGGAAGCAAAAAAACGCAGGACTGTTAGCCATAAGCAGCATGATCACCGTGCTTAAAGTCACAGATTGGGTTCAGCCAAAAGGCGCCCCCTGCTGGCTAAACAATATTGTCCTCTGTGTTGAGAAATGTCATTTACAATATCACAAGGATACATTAGGATACATACATGCTTCCAACAAAATAAAATATTACCACAGCCATTCCTAACAGAAACCTTTCATTGTAGGCTCTGCTTGAGTGCTTAGATCAGGGGTGGGCAATCTTATCTGCAAAGGGCCGGTGTGAATGTGGGTTTTCACTGCAACTCCCTTATTGGATTACTAATTAGAGGACTGTTTGGCTGAAGAGTCCTCACACCTGGGTTTGAACAGCTGACCTACAGGTTATCCCAAAAACCTGCATACACACCGGCCCTTTGCAGATAAGATTGGCCACCCTTGGCTTAGATAGATAGATAACCATAATGGATTTTGAAACGAGCTACTAGTTTCTTCATGGGGTTGGAACATAAATTATACAAACTCAAAGAACCAGCTCAATGGTTCATAATAGCACATAATCAAAACATTTTAGGTAAAACAAACAAAAAACCCCTTTGAAATCTCTAGTGAATATTTTCCTGTGAAGCTTTTCATGTTACAGCTTATGCACAAAGCAAAAAAGCAAAAAGCCAGGTGTTGCTCATTTCTCCAATGGGGAGAGGGTTAACATTTCAGCTGAGGAAAAACTCATTTTCCAAAGTGAATCTGGACTGGACCCGTACACATGCTGGAAGCTTTGGGCCGGGGGTGGGGGCCTGACATGGAGCAGGAAGGCTGCCCCCGGAGACATAAACCCATCCAAAGGCTCATTTATGACTGCCTGTCCGCCCTATAAATCTGAGGGTCGCTGAAGCAATGCCACTTGCCAGTTGTGCTTTCACAGACAGATGTGCTGCTTATTTTTTTTAAAAAGAAATAATGGTTTACATTTCTATTTCAGAAATCCAGGAGAGTATGAAGTGCATTGATGTGTTATCTACCAGTTTGCCACTTTAGCGAGTTACAGCAGTCAGTTGCAGATGGTTTTTGCTTATGTACTCTTACCAGTTCCTTATCCGTACTACAGTCTGATTCGTCCTGCTTAAACATTTGTTTGCCCTCAGCATGAAGAGAAGATGAAGGGCCACTTACCCAGCATGCTCCAGGGCTCCCTTTGTTTCATACTCCGCTAGGAGATAAAAGTCTAAGACCAAGGTAGAGTGGGAAACAGACATGGTTGCCTTGGCCAGACAAAAAGTGCCACGTGCCGGCAGGGTGGATGGGAAAGGAGCTGTTAAGAAGGTTCAAGGAGGGTCCCCGTCCTGACACAAACACATTCAGCCCCGCTGGCTCTGCAGTGGGAAACATCTGCCCATGGTGGTGGAAGGAGCGGTTGCTATGTCAACAGTGAATACAGCCAGCCTCTCAGTGGTGGAAACGGTGCACACAGTTCAAAAAGCAATAAAGCTGTGCAAATCTAAATGTGTTTGGTTGCAAACTAAAACAGAATTTATTCATCATGCTATCTTTACAGCCACATATTGTCACAGTAAACCAGGAAGAGAGACAAGAATCCAGAGATGCGTTAAGAACAGGAGTTTAATAAACTGACACAGGACAGGTTTTGAAAGGCAACCGCTGGGTTCGCTGTGTCCTCCGTCCGGGTGCCCGGATCCCGGGTGAGTGGCTGGAGCGAATGCCCCGTCCCACGAGGATGACAGGTAAGCCGGTAGGGGATGCGCAGTAATCGAGGTCGTAATCCAGAAGCAGAGGTCGTTACCATGAAGAGCCGTCCGACAAACAGGCACCAGACAGGAACAAACAGGACGGGATGAATGGGGAAGGCTGGGCTCGGCGGGGCAGGCGGATCAGGGACGGGATCTGGACTGAGGAAGGAAGGTATAAGGGTAAGGAGCGAACACGAGGCAGACATGTAAGGCGAGGGTAGGCAGGCAAACGGGAGACAAGAGAAATGCTTGGTAAGGCTTTGTGACATAAGCGCAATACTTCGTGAGTGTTTCTGGGGTTTGTTCTCCCTTTAAAGGAATTTAATTGTTCCCTAATGCCGTGCACCTGTCGGGCCCTGCCCCTGTGTGCGTGACATATATATGGAAGTAACTTAAAACTCTTTCTAAACATTGCAACATATTTACATATATACAGTCATTGACAAAAGTCTTGTCACATAAGGACATAGTAACATAAAAAGGCATATAACTTTATTTCTAATCAATCAATTGTTACGATAAATGGATCAATTTAATGCCAAGGACTTTCACATTAATAACTGGGTGCAAAATGAAACAGTCAAAAAAATGTCCTGATGTTCAGAGCTTGTTAAAGTCCATAACACCTGTTTTTGCAAGGACAAAAGTCTTGTCATGTCTTTTAATGATTCAACCAATCACAGATTTGAGGTTCACCTGTGACAAATACTGCAATTAACATAATCCCAGGTGTGTATAAAAAGATCCCCAGCAAACCAGACCTTCACTTGAAGTGCAACCTGACTTCTGACAACATGCCAAAGATTCAACCACAGACCAAGTCTGCTGAGGTGTCAGAC